CCAGGGAACGGGAGGCTGGTTAATGGAGACAGTTTCAGTTTGACTAGATGACAAGTTCTGTGGATGGATGGGGGTGATGGCTGTACACCGGCGTGGACTGTACCCCCGAGAAGGCTAAGTGTACGCTTTGTGTTATGTGTTTTATCGCACACACACCTTGTGCTGTTCTAATGAGATCAGCGGCAAGAGGTAAGTACTTACTCATCGCTACCTATTTCTGGGGGGAGAAGGGGCAGTGATGAAAGGCCTGCTTGGACCCAAATCCAAAAGGCACAGAGGGACTGATGGTTGCCTCGTGGGGCAGGCGCACTGACCTGGGAGTCCAGCAAGTCAAGGTCAAGTCCAGCCCCGCGTTCTGCTGGCCTTGGCTCCTCCTGCAGGGAAATCGGAAAACGTGTGAGAGTGGTCGTTCCGCCGGGCGACGCCAAGCTCGTCGCTGCCATTGAGGACTGGTCCCTGCCTGGGGCCCGGCGATCAGGAAGGAGGGCAGGGCCACAGCCCGCTTAGGCTCCGCCCTCAGGAAGAGGACAAGGCCACCTTCCCCCAGGCCTCCGGTCCCCCACAGGCCCCAGGGAGTGGCCAGCAGCGGTGGCACGGCCTCTGCCGTGTGGCCCTCAGGGACAGGGCCGGTGAGGATGAGGAGCAGGTGCCAGGCACTGGGGCAGCGGCCACACTGGGGAGGAGGTGGCTGCTTCCTTGGGACCCACCACAGATTCCCACGGCCCTGGTCCCCAGGGAGTCAGCAGCTCCTGGGGAGTGCGGGTGGAGGAGGGATGGATGGAGGTGGGTGGACAGAAAGGCCCAGATTTCCTTTCTTTTCCTTGGCAACATATCCGCCACCAAGGTTGCTTTTTAGGAAGGAAGCCCCCTCTTCGCCTTGGCTCGGCGGCTTCGGCGTAGTCCTGAGCACCGAAAGGTCCAGTTTGATTCCGGGACAGGGCACATGCCTGGTGGCAGGCTCGAGCCTCAGTAGGGGCGTGCAGAGGCAGCCAATTGATGTTTCTCACCTCTCTCCCCCTCTCCATTCCTCTCTCTTTAAAATCAATAAAAACATATATATTTTTAAAAGGTTAGTAATTCCAGAAGTCACAGCCAACCTCAGCCCGTGTCCGGGGGGGGCTCTCAAAACTTTGACTTCCCTGTAGCTCTGATCTGTCACACACTCCTGTGGGCGCCCCCTGAGAACACTCCCCAAACCCAGCTTCTTCCCAGCACCGTCACATCCTTGACGCCACGCCACCGCCATCTCTTGCCTGCATGACTGTGGCTGCCTCTTGTTCTCCCTGCATCGCCCTTGTCCCCCGCAGCCCCCCACTGTTAGCACATAGTGAGTCCCTCTTCACCCTCATCCCTTCTGCCCCCCACCCCTCACCCACTCGTCATGTGGCTTCTGCGGGGCTGGACCTGTTCCCAGGGTCTTTCCCTGGGGGCTTCTCCCCGACATCCGGTGGGTGATTTATGTTTTTATTGATTTCCGAGAGAAAGGAAGAGGGAGAGATGGAAACATCGATGATGAGAGAACCATTCACTGGTTGCCTCCCACATGCCCCCTCCTGGGGATCCAGCCTGCAACCCAAGCTCCGTGAGGAAGATGACCCACCCACAGTGGGCGGGAACGGTGCCCACGGGTGGCCAGCAGCTCCTGCCCCGAAGGAGTGGCGAGGCAGGAGGCTGCTTGCCTGTCACAGCGTCCCAGACCTGGTTTCACTCGGAACGAGTGGGAGCCCTCGCCGGCGTCTGCCTCCCCGCTGTGTGTGGCGGTGGCGGGGCAGCAGGCCCAGCAGGGAACCTCGGACCAGAGCCCTGCCGCTCCCGTCCTGCTGTGACCTGGCCCATAGGCCCCATGTAGCCAGGGCACGGAAACATCCTCTACAATTAGCTTCCCTGAGCTCCGCTTCCTCCAGAGCTGTGGCTGGAGAACAGCTCCGGCTGAGAATGCTCAGGACCCCGCCTACTCGCTGCGTTAAGGACAGACCTTCGACCTGCTGTCCTCAGGCCTGGGATCACCGCCATCCGGGCCCCCCTGGATGACAGGGGCCCTCCCCCACCCGGGGCAGCCCTCCCCCTTGTACCTGGCAAGTGGGGGCAAAGGCGCAGTGCACGTCTCAGGAGCTGCTGCCCAGAAAACGAAGTCCCAGCTTTAGCTGCTGCTAAGCCTCGGGCAGCCCTGGCCTGCGAGGGGCTCATGCTCTGGGGATCAGGTCACAGCCAGCAGCGGCCCCGCCGGCCGCCCACAGCAGAGCTCAGGGCCACGGGCACCGGGAAGCTGACAGGGTCACAGCAAATCACAGGACAACGGGGTGGCAAGCCATCTGTCGTTTTTAAAATATAACATTTATTGCTTAGATGGTTTGATACAGAACAGCTTTTCTTCTCATTCTGAATTTGGAAGTATTATACAACTGAATACAAAGAGGAACAAAAGTACCAAAACTAATCTTGTGATTCTGTTCATGTGGCATAAACCAGTTTGTACATAACATGTAGCAGCAGTTTTTAAGTTCCCTTTAGAAAAATATGAACTCTACATTTATTATTGTTTCCTGTGTAATGCATGGGCTGAAATCACTAGGATCACTTCCTTCTTGAAGAAAAGAGGAGAGGAGGCGGCGAACAGAGGGCGAAGGTACTACGAATCATCGAATCATCGACTGCCACGAGCGTCCCCGGCCGCGGGGAGGTCCGCCCTGGGGGGTTTGTTGCTTCTCACAGCCAGAGTTTCATGTAGTGACTGACTCTCAGCATTGTGTCCACAAATCAAAGAGAAAAACAAGGGAAAAACTTGCACCTCAAAAAACGTTTCAGAAGATCCATATATATATATATGTATATATATATATGTATATATTTTTTTTTTTTGTAAAAGCCCTGAGAGGAGAAAGAGAATCAAACAAAATGAATAGAAACAAATTAGCTGGACATGCAAACTAAGCTATGATTCACCCAGAGTTTAAACAAATCACAAATTTCACAGTTTAATATTGGGGGAGGGGCAGAACAACAAACAAACCATCCATGTCTCAACCTCACGAATGAAACGTGGCGAGGCCGCGGGCTACAGGGCGCAGGAGGCGAGATAAAGCTTCACATCGACTGCGATTCCTGCGGCCTGCGTGGCGCTCACCGCGCGGCCGCCTCCGCTGCGGCCTGCGTGGGCCACGGCCTCTCCACATCCCGGGAGCTTAGTGTGGAGAGTTGCAAAAAAAAAAAAAGAAAACAATAGAAACCCAAATAACAACAACAATGGAAATAACAACAATCATCATCAGAAAAGTGAAGGGATGCACGAACGGGTTTGAACGAAGCAGGCCCCACCAGGTATGCGGGGAGGTGGGACCGTCGGCTCTGATGTGTATTCATCGAGAGCAAATGAAACTTGTTCTGAAACTGGTTCATATATCCCCACACAGTTAAAAATTATATATACCTCAACTTCTTTTCTTTCACATGCAAAGATACCACTTTTTGTTATTTTGAGAACACACATCTTCCTTTGAAGTCTGGATGGTTGGATTTTGGCCGCCAGAAACTGGTGAGGAAGGGGTCTGTGTGCCTGTCTGCACACTCACTGAGGGAAGGAGGGCCTGGGACGGGGAGGGGGGGTCTGGGGATGTGAGGGTGGAGCAGCGAGGAGGCCCAGCGCTGTGCCTCAGGTGTCATGGGGTCCCAGTGGCAGACAGGATGCCGAGACAGGCTCAGCTACAGTAGGAAGTGTATTGCCTGCTTAGGATGCTCACAAAAGAAAAAGAAAAAAAAGAAAAAAAAAAAGAATCCTGCCTTTTTTGCACCCAGGGGTTCATGTTATTTCAGAAACTGGAAACAAGTCTATCTTCAAGCACCAATCCCAAATCGCAGGAAGGCAAATATAAATCCATTTCTATTCTTCTATCGCATGTGCAGCTTTATCACCAGTAGTAGTATTTCCTCGCCTTGCAAATGACAGTAGCACACGCGGGTAGGCCTGGCTGGGTGGGCAGACACCGGTGAGCGGGCCCACGCCGGCTGCTTTCTCAGGAGCCGGGTGCACCCCCCCACCCCCCTCGGCCGCGGCGGGGACCGGGCTGCAGCCGGCGGGCTTGTCAGGTTCAGTAGAAAAGCTCCCGCAGAGGGCAGACGCTCAACGAGGACCTGGGCACCCGGGTCTCCAGGACAAATATTGCCCATTTGCTTCTGCTTACTGCAGAGACCAGCAAACTGATGAACTAAAATAATAATAATAATAATATTAATAATATATATACCGAAGGGGAAATCAGATACAGGACGCCTGTGTTTGTCCTCCATAGGTTAAACTGACACGGTAACTCTTCTAAGAACAAAGGTCTTGGAACTTGAACAGGAACTAGTATGTCTAATGCTGAAAGAGCAAAAACACATATGAGGTCGAAGCTAGAATCTGTCCTGGTTTTGGCTTGAACCAAACTGGAAACCTCCATCCACCACATCCTCAAAATCGAGGACCAAATTACAGCTCCACCACATAGCAGATTAAAAAAGAAAAAGAAAAAAAAGAATAAGGTCTGTATGAGAAATGAGCATCTCATCCATATTTCCTCTGGTAATTTACATGAAAATTCACATCATTTTCTTCCAGTTATTGGCTACGGGTATCCAAGGGCATGGTTTTCTTCTGCTTCCAGCTCACAGAACAAATGTTACCATCAGATTCGCAAGAACAAGCTCACACACACCAACACAGAAGTGATGTTAATGCTTAAACGAAAAGGTCCTCCCCAATAATTCATTAAAATATTTGCTTTGTTTTAAAGTCATTTCGGGACAACACAACACCCAGGACGACACTGAAGGACTGGTAAGTAGTAAGGCACTCGAATCGTCCGTGCTGGCTCCCGCACGGCGCGTGTAAGGCTGTGGCTCGAGAGGCCCTTCCTCCTCGCCTCTCCCAACAGCTGACACAGCTGACAGGCACTGAGGGGACCTCACGAAACACATTCAGGAGCGGCTCCGCGGGCCTTCGCGGGCGCTGGGCACGGGAGCCGTCATTCCACGCCCAGCAGCGGCGAGGCGGCGTCGGCGGCCAGGACGGGGAGGGCAGGCCTCTTGCCGTCCAGCTCCGGCAGGTCTTGCGTGAGGGCCGCCGGGCTCTCCGGGTCGGGGTCACCCTGAGGCGCCTGCTCCGGGGGGGCGGCCTTGGGCGTGCTCCTGCCGGCCTCCGCCTGCCCGGCGCCAGCCGTCCGGCCCGCTGCCCGGTCCTCCCTGCGGCCGGCGTCCCGGGCCTGGCTCTCCTTGCGGCTCCGCGTGACGGCCATGTGGTTGCTGGCCGGCACGGCCGCGTCCGCCTCGCTCTCCGAGACCGGGTTGTTGCCGCTGTGGGTGGACTCGCTCTCGCTGTCCTCCTCACCCCGCTCGTCCTTGTCACTGTCCTTCCCGTGGTGCTTGGCGTGCCTGGCCTTCTGGTGGACACGCTGGTGGCGAACCAGGCTGTGCTTCAAGGTGAAGGTCCGCTCGCAGGTCTGGCACTTGTAGGGCCTCTCTCCTGCACAATGAGGGACAGAAATGGTCTGTTAATGGGAAGGCCACTGGGAACTGCCTCTCTGCTCCACACTAACGCAGCTACGCAACTACGAGGGAAAGATGGGGGTAGGGTGGTGGCCAGGACAACCCCCTTTAGAAGGAAACCCTCTTATTTGTCTGAATTGGCAAAATGGGGAAGCAGGAATGACAGGTGCCACTTTTGGATTCCTCCCCCGTCATCTCTTAGCCCAGGTTTCCACACCCTGACCCGGGAACCAGCGCCCCTGAGGACGGCAGTGGCATCCTCCCTCAGGGACAGCACGTTTCTGAGGCTCGAGGACAGGGCACCTCCCAGCCAAAGCACGGGGCACTCATGTTCTGAAACGCGGCAGCAGGGGCTTCTCTCAGGCGCACACGCTGGCCGGAGCCCAGGAGCCCTCTCTGTCGGAGACCCAGCCCGGAGCCTCCGGAGCCCCCAGGCCGGGCAGAACGGGGGCACGGGGTGGGCAGAGTGTGGGGAGCAGAGGTGTGCACCCCGCCGGCCAGGAGGGAGGAGGGAAGCCGAGACCAAGACCAGGGCCTGGGCTGGGTGTGTTTGGGGGGAGGGGTGGCGATATGCTTGCAGTTTTGGCTCCAGGAGTGTATCCAGATCTCCTTTCTACTAAACAACAGCCCTGCTGTGGGGTTTGCAGCCTCGGCCGTGCAGCTGGTGAGTCTCAGGAGTGAGGACTGTGCAGGGCAGACCCGAATGGCCATGCAGCAGCCAAGACAGACAGGAAAGCCCCCACGGTGCCAACTTCCCACCTGAAGGTTAATAATGAGACAAACCCAGATGCCTCCAAACAGAGCACCTGTCCCCCTGCCTGTCCCCAGGCCACACCCCGCAGTCCCCTTCCGGGCTCAGGACTTGATGAGACCACGGGCCCCAAAGCCCAGCACGCATATCCTCCTAGACACTTATCCGAGAGGACAGGCATCACCCCGTCCGAGAGACAGGAAGCCTGAGGCTCAGAGGGACCGACCACGGTGTTCTCAAGGACAGCACAGCGGAGGGACCACCCCCTGCCTCCCTGCAGGAGCCATGCGTTTAGGGCGCTAAGAGCACAGCTCGTTAAGTCCCTGGTTTACAGGCTCACAGGGCACGAGCAGGCCCGGTTAGGCCTCTGCCGTTTTCCCTTCAGGGAGGCTTCCTCCTGACTGGGCAGCCCCCTTCGCAGGCTGGGACGGGTCCTCCCGAGAGAAGCCCTTACCCGTGTGGGACCGCATGTGCCGGGTCAGGTCCTGCAGGGACCAGAACCTCTTGTTGCACACGGTGCAGACCTTCTTCCTCTTGTCTGCCTTGCTGGACACACTTCTGCAGGCGTCTGTCTTTGGCTTCTGGTCATCATCACTCTTCTCTGAGGACTTCTTCTCGGCCGTGCCCTCCCCGTCGGAGGTGCCCTCAGCCTCCTCGCTCTGCTTCTCTGTGGAGCCTTCTGACCCGGCCTCCCCCTCGGCCGGGGGCTCGGGCTTCTCCTCTGGCTCCGGGGCGGGGGCAGTGGGCACAGGCCCCGGCCCCTCGGCAGCCCCCCTCTCGCCCTGGCCCTCCTGCGGGAACGGGCTCTCCCCCCTGGGCACCTCGCGGCCATGGGCCTTCCGGTGGCGGCTCAGGGTCCCAAGGAACTTGAAGCTCTTGCCACAGATGTCGCAGGCGTGCTTCTGGTCCTGCTGGGCCGAGCCCCCGCTGGCCACAGCCCCAGGGTCGCCCTCGGCCAGCTTGAAGCCCATCAGCTTGCTGGCGAGATTGAGGTCCAGGCTCTTGTTGCTGACCGTATCTTCCTCGGGGCCATCTTCTTCATCCTCCTCCCCCTCCTTCACATCATGATTCTCCTCGGGCTCCGGGCTCTCCTCGGCTGCCTGCTCCTCCCCATCCATGGCCTCGGCTGCTGCCCGAGTCAGCTCCTCCCCGGGGACCTCTCCTTGGACCTGGCTGGGCTCAGGGCCCCCTTCGGAACACGGCTGCTCTTTCTCCCGGGAGGTGAGGTCCAGCACTTCGCCTCCTGCAGCTGATGTCTCCACATCTGACTGGCTGTCTGTGGGAGCAAGCACAGAAGCATGGATTGAAACCAAACGCCACCACACACGCCCCTGCCAACGGCTCCTTCGTGAATCTCAGCTGGACCCGCCCTGAATCATCACCCCTACATCCATCTCCAAGGGCCCGAAAGAATCTGGGGTTAATGTATGAAAGGAGAAAGAGCCTCCACATACACACAGGCCAGGGTCACGGGGCTGGCTGTGCCTTGGAAGCCCTGCCCCCCTTCCTGTACTGGCCGCAGGCGGCACCTGGTGCCCTCCCCTGCCACACACAGCAATGCTCAGGTCCCAGAAGATGTGAGCGACTGAGGGCAGCACAGACAGAAGGAATGGAGAGGGGATGCATTCCAGAGAGTCACAGCGCTAGGGAGGCTGAAGAAGCTGAGCTGAAAAAGCTATTTTTGAGTGCAGAGATCATATAAACATGCAACATACATGGGACTACCCCAATCATGGTGTCTGATGACAAAATGGCCCAAAGCACATACTATGCACTATGGTCCACACTCTCACCCGATGCTTCGTTTCCAGGCGGAGTTCCAAGGCAAAGGAGACACAGGCACACCGCGGGCCTCCCTGGCTGCTGTCAGGACCCCATGGAGGGAGAGGAAGCCCTTCCTGAATTTCATCCTGTTCCTACCTGTCCACTCTCCATAGCAAAATCAGATGTGGACTGTCCATCAGTTTGTAAGGCCTTCTTGAGGGATGGCACTGTGGTAACACTAAGGACACCACACGGGTGGCAGCATTTATCAGAAGTACTGTCTCCCTTCGGGACACAAGGGCCTATTGACCTTTACACTGTGTCTATGACAGTGAAGCTGCTGAGACCTACTAGCGACTATAACCCAATGGCCAATTTATTAGGCCAGTGACACTCCGTTTCAGAGCACGTACACCTCCCCGGACTCTCCTTGATGTGACCACACGTACAGCCATGTCCACCCACACCCAGCACTCGGTCACCGGCTTCGTTATCTGCCACTGAGGGGGTCCTAGGTGGGGTGTAGGGCTGGCACCCCACGCCTGCCTGGGCCTTTCAGCGTACGCACCACCGTCTGCTCAACGCTCCAACTTACACCCCTTCACCGTTTCGTTCTGCCTGTATCTTTTGGCAGCCACTGTCTGAGTATCTCAAAGGGTTTCAGAGGAACACAAGTCATTATGCTGTGACTAAAATTTCTGACGATTTTTGAAAATTATTCACAAGTTCAAAGAAGAATCCTGAGCTACACACCCCAATGTTGAGGCTATTTCTAAGGATAAGACCGTTGCTCATGTTCTTGAGTAATTCCAATAGGGAGCATCTACTTAATAGATGCTCCCTATTGGAATTACTCTACAATAAAAAAAATACTAAGTGCTCAGTTTCATATTTGCTGGCTTACTACTACTGTAGTAGTTACATTTTTAAAAAGAGGCTTAAATTCTGGCTACTTCCTTCTTGCCCCCGTACATTCAAGGTTTTCTTAATTATTAATATTTTTCACCGAAGAACATAGGTTATTTTAAAGTTTAACTTGAGACTATATTAAGATGAACGTAGAAAAAAATCATAATGAATTCTGAAACTAAACCCAAGTAAATATACTAAGGTCCGATCATTCTCACCCCTGGGCCTTCCTTAGTATGAATAATGAAGTGTTCGTCCACAGCCAGTTTAGCCTGTGGACTGAAGTGTCCCAGGTTCGATTCCAGTCCAGGGCACATGCCCAGGTTGCAGGCTCAATCCCCAATGGGGGGCGGGCAGGAGGCAGCCGATCAATGATTCTCTCTCAACATTGATGTTTTTATCTCTCTTCCTTCTTCTCTGACATCAACAAAAATGCATTAAAAAAAAAAAAAAAAAAAAAAAAAAAAAAGAATGGAGCATTCACCCTAACTTCAAGGAAAGGCCAACTCACTTCCTCTGGTGAACAAAGGAGGCCTGGCTGTGCTCTACCAAACTTCCACTAGAGGGAGATTTCTGCAGGACCGCCCTGGGCCCTTCAAGTTCCAAGCAATCCCAAATGATTTTTATTAGTGATCCTTGGGAACAATAGAACCTCCTCTCATCATTTCATGAATATCTGGCTCATAACCGCAGGCCCTATTCTGATCCCTGCCCTCCTCAGCTGTCCACTCTTCTAAATACAGATAGCTGAAGCCTTTTTTTAATAAGCGATGCTATCTCCCTTACATACTTAGTTTTCTGTCCTCACCAGTCCCTCATTTGTGATGCTAAATCTAAAAAAATCGCTATGGGAAAGTGGAAACTTTTCATGCCAGCTTAACAATGAAATATCTACTGCCTCTCAGACGTTCCAAGTTACTCAGCCAAAGTGAAAAACGACCAGTCTGCACACCTCACTGAATGGGCAGGGGCGAGGCTGTTCAAGCTGCTGCCTGCACTACGGCTTCCCCTGCGAAGGCTGTGCTGAATGCTGTCCAACAGGCACTGGGCTTCCAGCCGGGCAGGGAGGCTCTGTTAAGAAAGCATTTGAAAACTTTCACATTAAGCTGATTTGGAACGTCGTGTGTAGTTGCCCTCAAAAAGAAGGCCCCTACAGGTATGGCCTGAGGAAAAAACGTAAGTATTCCCCAAGGGCAAAGTGGGCCAGGGTACAGCTGCCCACAAAAAAAGAAAGAAAAAGAAAAAAAAAAGAAAAAGCGGAGCGCTTGTTGAACTCTGAATGAGCAATTTGCCCCTTTAAGCAGAACTGCCCCCATACAGCATTTCAGCATTCCTTTGGGGAAAACCTAGGTGTAGTTTCGTGAAAAACCTTACGTGATGGAAAAAGTCAGACTCTCATTATAAAACACGTCCAGGGATTTTAAGAAAAGGCAACCCAGGCGTATAAACCTAGAAAACCCCTCAAGAACTTCCCTGGTCATTTCCTGCCTTTGTTTTTTATGGTCTTCCTTTCAGGCCCTCTTGCAACTTCGTGGGAGGGAGCGCCTGAAGGAAACTGTCCCCCGCCATTATGCTCACCTGGTTTTAAAAAGCTCCCTGAAGCCAGGGAACTCACCTCCCCAACCTCTCCCCTTCCCTTCCAAAATCTCAGTCCTCTTTCTGAGCATGGGCTGGGACCACAATTAAACCAACCATATATTTTCTCTTTGCTGGTTTCACATTACAACTTGCAGTGAATTCTTTTTCCAGAGGCTTTTTCCTTAAAAAAAAACTACAGGGTGGAGATGAGGAAGGACTCTGACAGAACTTGGAAAAACTAAACTCTTAACTGCAAATTTAAAAACTAAACCCACCACAATGTAAAACTGGCGCTGAACGGAAGCTAGGACATACACTCCAATCAGCGCGGAGCCTGCGCCTCAGAGGGCAGTCAAGAGTCCCAGGCCGGTTCCTCAGTGTGAACCGGAAGGGGAGTCATGTGCATCTGCCATTCTTACCCTTTACAACCTGTCTGCAAACTCTGAAACCAAGGACACCCCTCACTGCCTCTGTTATTCACTTCTCTCCCTCCTTTGGCACCTCTGTGGGCAGAAGCGCAGCTGCTTCTAAGCCAGGCTGCCACCAGGCCCCTCAGCACGCGCTGCTAAGCATTAGAGCGATCCTCGTCAGCAAACGCGAGCTCTGACAGCGTCGCTGTGGCTTCCTAGGGGTCGAAGGTCATCCACCTCCTTTTGCTCAAGGGGGTCCAAGTCATGGCAGGATTCCGTGGGAGTCCACATCATTACTCAAAGATCTTGGCAAATGATGTGGGAATGGAGGCTGGCCGTCTTTTTATACACTTTGGAGGGGCTGATTTTAAGAAGAGGGCTGACAGTTTAGGGGCTTGTTTCACTGGGGACTGGTGGGAGGTGTGGGGAAAGGCAGAGGGCTCGGGTCAAATCCTCTTCCTGGATAAGCTACACATCCAGATGCACCCTCCCTCAGTGACTGAGACAAGGATGGGGCCTGGGGTTAAAGGCGACCCCTCTAGTCAAACTGACAGGGGGGAGGGACTCCCGGACACCACAGCGCCCCATCCCACCCAAGTCTGAGAGAGAGAAGCACGGGACACAATTACAACTCTAGAAAAATAAATACATTTTGAGGGAATGTCATCGGCTTCAAGCAGTGGGGGAACCTCAAGCTTCCAAAACTTGCAGAACTGAACCATACCCGTGAGACCATTATCAACCAGTGGCCAGCTAGCTGTGTCTCAGTGACCTGCAGCAGCCCAGTTTTTTTAGTTTTGGGGGATGAGTGGTGCTAAACCCAAGTATTTGGAGGTGAAAAATGTACTGACTAGAGGACACGAGTAAATGCAGAAGCTGCCAGGGGGAAAGGCGGCAGGAGAGCACTGGGCAGCGTTAATTGCTCTGTGGGGGGCCGCAGGAAGGAAGCGCGTATCAGCACAAGAGAATCACCGGATCCAGGTCAGGCAGAGATGTGATTAAGGAAAGGACATGCAGAGTGCTTTTTCAAACAAGACAAAGTTTTGTTTTACTGGGAAGAGAGCTAATGAAAAGAAAAACACCCCACCTCCCTGCCAAGGGCTGGGCATCCCTAGTTCCTGCAACACCCTGACATCTGTGCGGCCCATCCCTGAGCTGCAGAACTCGGCAGCAGAGGCTGGGGCTGGAGAAGACAACACCCCGAGCCTTGAAGTTTCACATCCCTTTCAGACATGCTGTTACCAAGAGCTAAAACTATATATCCTTCCTCATAGCCACATCCAGCCGGGCCCGCAGCCTGCACAGAGGGGTCTGCCGGGAGGGGATGGGGTGACAGATCTTCCCTACTAGCTCAGCAAAGCCTCCGGGGCACTGCCCCTGTCTCCCACGTCTCGACCCTGCTGCATGCTCTGCAGGGCCCACCTTCTGACTGACTGGAGTCCTACAGGGAAGAGGGGAAGGGGCCCGCATGCTCCGAGGGCCGACGTTGGCTAGGAAGTGCGTGGGGCTGCGCAATGGGCTCTCCTCTGTCCCTCTCCTCTCCGTCACCTGGAAGCACTACCTGTGCTATCATGGGCTCCAACATCACTCTCTTTTGCCTGGGGAATAAGCCCGTTTCTTCTCAGGGAACAGTTGGTAACTCCATGTTTGCGCAACTGGTGGCGTTCACAGTTAGATTTGGTAGAAAAGAAGGCATCGCATTTTTGACAAGGGAAGGGTTTCTGACCTGAAGCAGGAAAAAAAATAGATATTTATCTGGCTTTCTACTGCAATGAAAAAGAAAAGTTGCTTTTGATTCATTCTTCTGGGATTATTGGCATTTGCTTCCCCCTCCTCCACCCGATTCTTTAAAGAAAACAAATAAAACACATTAAAAAATATATATATACTGAACACAAACAAGTCAAATGGTCATCTTCCCTTAGTCTGAGTGGGATGGAATGACTTCAAAATACTAAAAGTTAACAATGAGACCAAGACACATATGTTTAAAGTAAAACAACAATATTACAATTAAAATCTTAAATAACAACAAAGAGTGAAGGGATTTTAGAGCACAGCAAGAAAAAACTGTAGTTTGTCACAAGACGACACAGCTTTTAATAATTTCTAGCATTGCAAGTACTACCCATGCTGGAAAATCAGAGGGGACGCCCAGGCCCTCCTGCAGGAATCTGGAGCCCCTGCTATCTTTGGAGGGGTCTCCTCTTCCTGACCGAGGTGCTTGGCCTCCAGAGGAGGGAGCTGGGGAGTTCTGACTCTGCAGGTCTCCTCCTGGCTGACTTGATGAGCCACCCTGCAGTGACCTCTGCCCAAGGTCACTGTGTCCCTAGTCAGAGGAGGTCTGCTCTTTGTTCCTGCTCTAAGATCCTGCGAGCAGTAAATAAGTGACTAACATATCTTGAGTCCGAGCTAGGTCATGTGCTTCGCTCACCAGCCCCTTCCCACCAACTCCACCACGGGGTCACCTGCTGAGAGCGGAGCATGCCCACTTTAATCCCCAGGAGTCATTGCTATGGTTTGCCTATATTTTCATAAATAAAAACGAATGAATGAAGAAAGTATATTTTGTTTGTTTGCTTTTTCTCTCCTTTCATTTGGATTCCTTTTGAACTGTAAACATGATGTTTTAAAATGCAAGCCAGGCCCCTCTGCAACTTGTCCCTTGTTTGCATGAATGAAAGGGGAAAAGCAAGAACCAGAGCAGAAAGTGTGGACAGAAAGGAGGAAGAAAGGAGCAGGGCGAGAAGGGAAAGATTAGGTGACCTCAGGAGAGAGAGGATGGAGTCAATCATTGACTATATTACTGGACTCTTCTGTTTTCCCCACTCTCCAGATTCTAAGGTCCCAGTTTCTGAGTTTACAGGGTAAAAGGTTTGTGTACTAACAAACAGGACTTCAGAGCTACAGCCCAGGATGCCTGTCTTGTAACCTTGGGAATACCACAATCAGACACACATGCTAAGAAATGATAGCTCAGCCAGTGGGGCTCAGAGACCTATGAACCTGGAGGTCATGGTTTGATTCCCTGTGGGGTAAATGCCTGGGTTGTGGGCTCAATCCCCAGTAGAGGCTGTGCAGGAGGCAGCTGATCAATGATTCTCATTCATCACTGATGTCTTTCTCTCTCTCCCCCTTCCTCTCTGAATCAAGAAAAATATACTTTAAAAATATGACAGAAAAAATAAAAGACATGGAGGCAACCTAGACATCTATCAGTAGATGAATGGATAAAGAAAATGTGGAATGTATAGTGTATATGTGTACACACACACACACACACACACACACACACACACGGTGGAATATTACTCAGCAACAGAAAAGAATGAAATCTTGGTATCTGTGACAACACAGATGGACCTAGAGGGAATTTAAAATAAAACAAATGCATAAACAAAACAGAAACAGACCCATAGAAACAGAGAAAAAGCCGACAGTTGCCAAAGGGAAGGAGGGTGAGAGGATGGGAATAAAAAATAATCATAAAATAATAAAACAAAAAACCAAAAAGGCATGATACTAAATGCAATGCACGAATCCAGACTAGATTACAGACTGGGAAAAAGTAGCTCAAAAGGACACTTGTGGGTTAACTGATGACATGTGATTAAGACTGTGGATTAGGAAAAGAAACCACCACTGAGACAGCTGTGCAGAGACCTTGATTAGTGCAGGGACCAGCCCAGGCACTCACTGAGATGCACACAGCAGTGCAAGAAAGGCCCAGCACCATCAGCTTCCAGCCCCACAACTCTGGGGGGCTATTCATGCAGATCTCAGATCAGGGGGTATGACTCAGCACCATGGGACCACTGCCCCACCAAGTTCAAGCATCAGCACTAACCAAAGAAAGGGGCGCTCATTCCCTCAGAGCCGAAAGACCCTTTCAGCAATGGTCCAAATCACCAAGGAGCTTTTTAAAAATACAGATGCCTGCACTGATGATGTATTATAGAACTGTACCCCTGAAACCTATGTAATTTTATTAACAATGACACCCCAATAAGCTCAATAAAAATAAATTAATTTTTAAAAAGGAAAAAAGAAAAAAGAATAGAGATGTCTAGAACAACCAAAGACTAGGGAATGTGAAGCCTGGGAGTGGGATCCGGACCCAGGAACCCGGCACACACACTCGCAGGAGCTCCAGAGGGCCCACAGCCCAGCAGAGCCTCCAACTACCCTGAACTTTACCTCAGAGCCCAGTAGGTGTTTCTGCTAAAATTGGAAAATGGCCTAAAAAATAAAAACCACACTTTTGAGTAAAGACTAGTTTTAAAAGTATTTTAATGTTAATTGCATACCCTCCCATTATTCCTGCCTTTCACTAACAATTGAAAACAACATTTAATAATTACTTGGATTCTGTTTTAAGTATGAAAAATATACTTTTCCTTTAACATTTTATTATTAGAAGTGAGGTCAGATGAGAGGGAGAAAACTGGGCCGAGAGCAGACAAGTCAGAGCTCTATTAACTATGTTACAATTGTTACTTTCAAATACAATTGATTTCTTGCTTCTACCTAATTCCATGCTTTATTCTGTAATATTCAAGTAGGTAAGTCTCTCACTTTTAAGCTGGTTTAGACAGCCAGGCTGATGTCCCATGATGGCACTTTATATTAATGCTAAATTCAGAGAACAAAATAGTGACACCAAAGTTACTGTATCACATTATGAGGATTCCCAAAGGACACTAACAGGAGTCTTTAAAGTTCACATTTCCCTGCCAGTCTACGTTTTAAATAGCAGTGTGCTTTCCGACTGCATGGCAGAGGAAAATACGAGCCCTCCAGCATTTATACTGTACAGGTTTCAAACCTGTTCACTGGTGATCTATAATGGAAAGCGTCAAGTGATTTTATTTACTTGGTAAATGCCACCAATAAATGCTTTAGGAGGGGTTTTAAAATGCACCTGTAACCACAGGAGTCACCGATGTGCCCAAGACCTGAGATGACCCTCCACCCTAACGTGACAAAAACCATTGTCAGCCAAAACCGGTTTGGCTCAGCGTTGGTCTGTGGACTGAAAGGTCCCAGGTTCAATTCCGGTCAGGGGCATGTACGTTGGTTGTGGGCGCATCCCCCACAGGGGGTGTGCAAGAGGCAGCTGGTTGATGTTTCTCTCTCATCGACGTTTCTAGCTCTCTATCTCTTTCCCTTTCTCTCTGTAAAAAATCAATAAAATATATTAAAAAACAAACAAACAAAAAAAACACACAAACCATCATCAGCCAGTTTCCACTCTCACAGAATAGTCAAAACAAGAGGAGAGAAATTTTATACTGAAAATACTACCTGACAGGCACCGGAGCATAGAACAGAAGAATTAACACTGAGAATAAGGTTCATGATGCGACCTCACACCACACTCTCTCCACTCTCAGGGAAAGACTTGGCTCAGTTAAATGGCCAACACTGCCATTTAAGAAAGTTATAAGGAACCAAACACACGTGGTGCCGGCAGTGATTCACACACCGAGGTGTGCACATCTTACTGATTTTAAATGCAATGCCTGTGGCTTAGGAGCAGCAGGTAGGAGAGGCAAGTGGGGAGGGTCCTCGGCTGGTGAAGGAAAGGGGTAAGACCAATCAGGAGGAAGTGAGAGAGCCAGGGATGCCTGCCTGTGGGAAATGGAGGGCAGCTGAAACCCTCAGGTCCCAGCCCCTCCCACTCTGAGGAGGAAGGTGAGGACCGGGTGGGAGTGGACTGGCGGTGTTTTCCTGGCACTCACTCCTCCACCTGTGGCAAAAAGCACACAGAACGCTCACAAGGGGAAAATGGAAGGAACTGTGCCCCAAAGAGGCAACCGTACTCAGAGAAAGGCAAGGAGCCAGGAAATGTCCCTGATCAACAGGACCCTGTGGGCTGGGAGAGGAGCAGGAGGAGATTCAGTTGTGTGTGGAGAGCGTACCAGGGGACACGAAATCTGACAGCTAACACCAGCTTCCTCCTGAGACACAATTCCTAGGGGCGAAGCCGGGTGCCCCTCGCCCACAGCAACAGTGAACCTGAGCTCATCCCTGAACACCTGGTCTACTCAACGCTGCCCATCAGGGGGCTGGGGTGGACTGGAAACATGTCTATGAGACAACAGACAACATGATGGTAATTCTATGCATTTGCCCAGTGGTCAGGAGAAGGCTGACTCTCCCAAGATACAGACACAGTCGCCTAAATGCACCCTAAAATGGGACACTGTTTGAAGCTGCTGGCTGAAATGCAGCTTGATTTTAATGTTCCAATTTAATAAAACCACCAAAACCTCTTTCCTATATGACACTTGTTCACAGGATCATCCCAGAGCCCATGTTTACTTTCTCTTATGTCTCACTTCAAAGTTTCCGGAGGGAGACATCACAGAAAGCTGGGGAGCAGGGGACAGGCAGCTCGGATTCTTCAGCAGCCCAGTCACCTTCAGAACACTGCTGGCCCTCGGGAGGGGCGGATCCGTCCGGCTCCATCCCTCAGATGACGGATGGGGAGTACCAGGCACAGCCAAGTGCTATATAAAAGGACTTACAAAGGGAATGCCGAGACTGTTGCATGAAGTTGAGACAGTGCAACAGCAAAGAAGCTAACAACTCAAAGGGCGCCGATCTGTGTGTTTGTGCGTGCGGCTAACACCATTCTGTCATCATTAAGTGTCTGATATAAACCTAACAGTATTCTGGTCCACACCTGTCTTCTAACCTTTCCTCAAACATCTTCCCAATCTC